TGAATCTCCAAGTGGTCTTGCCCGATCGCCGCCATCACCCTCGGTTCGCGATGTCAATCCCACCCGATGCCGGGTGTGCGTTTCCAGGGAGCCGGCGAGTTTACGCGTTTAAGACGCCTACAGAATTGGTTTTTATTAGTATTCGTATTATGTATGGGAATCGGTTCAGATAAATCCCACGGCGGCGATTGTTTTTTTTTGGGGGGGGGAAAAAAAGTAGACCCGACGCAAGTGAACCTGATTCGGATGGGTGAAGAATCGATTGTCCCCTTCACGGATCGCTCTGGTTGGTGGATTCCGTCTATACCGCGGTTTACGCTTCCTGGCAGAAAATCTTCCTTTGGCTGTTTGGGTGGAGAAAATAAGATGGGATGAAAGGCTGGGAATCGTTCGTGACGGGTAGGTCAGGGTCGGAAACTAGTTCGACAGCTGCCCAGACCCTTCGCAATGACTTTAGTTGGACAGAACTGCATATTTATGCAATATTTTTAGAAAGGAAAGGAAAACTGATAATCCACCGAAACCGTGTTGGATGGTTCACTGTTGACAAAAGAATGAGTGTACACATAAGCAAGTATGCCTAGATCAATAGACATCAAATTCTGGGATTTCAAGAACCAAGCAGGGAGCTAGCCACTCCTGCGCGAGTTGAAAAAAAAAGATAGGTAAAATAACGCATCGCTACCACTGGTCTCCAATGGGAGTCGTTTCCTTTTAGAATGAATTGTATAGGCTAGTTAATTGAGGAGTCACGCAAAAAAACAAAAAACAAAAAACAAAAAAAAGCGCCAATATCTGGAAATATTCATATACACTTATCAATCTAAAAAGATAAAATAATCCGAGTATAAGCGATATCGATATAGAAAAGAAACTAAATTCAACTTTAATCTAAAGCCAGGTGAAGCATACACCCTAAATTGTTTCCTTAGGGTTGTCGCCTGCTTCCCTGTCCTTCTTATCGCTTATAATCCTTGCGCACCGTGAAACATAAATCACCCAAATGGTAACGCTGGGTTCGCCCCATACGGCAAGACTTCCCCTTGACCGATTCATTTCTATGGATATACTTACAAGGTTTCGTTTCGACAGTGGTCCATCTCTATTTGAAGAAACAATTTAGCATGAGTACACAAAGGCGGTCAAATTCAAAACCCTACGCCTACACCGAACCTTTCTGGTGCCTCTAAAACTACTCCGCCGACACGGCGACAGCACCGCCGTTCTATGCGCTCAAGCACAACATAGTGAAACTCAAAGAATCCTCATCATCGGAATCCGCATCCGAATGAAGATAATCCTGAGAACAACCATAACAAAAAGGGGTAAAAAAAAAGAAAAAAAAGAAAGCCGTGGGCGGGTTAGCGCGACGGCAACCGCGCGAACCGCGAGGCGAGCGGGCTGAACTTCAGCTCCGTGAGGCTTCGGATGTTGTCCGGGGCCCTCCCCCAGGCGCGATCGCGGGCGGGTTTCCCCGG